AGTGGCCGTCGATGCTTTAGGGGGCAGGAGGAGGAGGAGGGTTGTGGGTGGTTTTTTCCTGCTGTCTCTGGGAGAGGAAACCAAACCTCCCCTTTCTGGGTGTTAACTCTCCAGCCCCCATGGGTTGGGTTTCAAACCACGTTTCTTAGGACTCGTTCTTTTGTAATAATGATTTGCGCTGTTGTTTTTATCAAGAGGTAAAGGCGGCAAGCTGGGAACCAAAAGGGATATGTTAGTACGTTTTGTTGTTGTATAAATGAAGGTGAATAATTAACCTGTTACACTTGATATTTTTGCAGATCAAAAGAAGGAGGAAACTATGCCCACAGAGGGAGAAAAATCTCCCGAGGCAGAGAATAACAACAGTAATAATAAAAAAGGGAAAACTGGAGGCTCACAGGTAAAGCACACGCACACGAATAGGGAACTGCCCAAACTATTAGCATTTAAAATTAAACGTTCAGCCAACAGCATTTCCTACTCAGGGTATCTTTGGGTTGGATGAAACACGGTTGGGTGCAATACTGTTGCTGCCTGGACATTTTTTTTATTTGCCTTTTGCAATGATGGGATGCTTTCCATGTCACAGAAGCCTTTTTTTTTTTTTTAAATTTTCGGGGAAAAAAGGACTGGATTGAGGATGCCGTTGAGGTCCTGGCTGTGACATAATCATCGATAACTGGGGGTTTTATGTCTAAAGATTATTTAGAGAAATACATACTTCCTTATTCAGAACTGTATCATTGGTCTCTATGCAGAAGCACTTTTTTTTTTTCTGTTTCCTGTGTAAACCTTAACGCTTACTTCTCATGGTTCATACTTACGCTCTTCTCCTGAATCTGTTCTGTTTTCTCTCTTTACGGATAGGATTCTCAGCCTTCACCTCTTGCTTTGCTAGCAGCCACTTGCAGCAAAATAGGAACACCTGGTGAGAATCAAGGAGCTGGACAGCAGCAGATTATTATAGATCCAAATCAAGGTTTGGTGCAGCTTCAGAATCAGCCACAGCAGTTAGAATTGGTAACAACTCAGCTTGCTGGAAATGCTTGGCAGCTTGTTGCTGCTGCTCCTTCTTCTTCAAAAGAAAATAACGTTGCTCAACAAGGATCTTCTGTTGCCTCAAGTGCACCAAGTCCCTCCAGCAGTAACAATGGAAGTACATCTCCTTCAAAAACCAAGTCGGGCAATTCTTCTGCAACAACCCCTGGACAATTCCAAGTCATTCAAGTACAAAATCCAAGCGGTAGTGTCCAATACCAAGTGATCCCACAAATTCAGACAACAGAAGGTCAACAGCTTCAAATCAATCCATCTAATGCTACTGGCCTACAAGACATACAGGGTCAAATTCAGCTTATTCCTGCAGGGAATAATCAAGCTATCCTCACAACTGCGAATAGGACAGCTTCGGGGAATGTTGTGGCTCAAAACCTAGCAAATCAGACAGTTCCAGTCCAAATTAGGCCTGGTGTTTCCATACCACTGCAACTTCAAACTATTCCTGGGACTCAGGCACAAGTTGTAACAACATTACCTATAAACATTGGTGGGGTGACCCTGGCATTGCCTGTGATAAACAATGTGGCAGCTGGAGGAGGTTCGGGTCAAGTTGGACAGTCTTCTGAGAGTGGAGTTTCCAATGGAAATCAGCTATCCTCTACTCCTGTCACTTCTGCTTCTGTTAGTACAATGCCAGAGTCTCCTTCGTCATCTTCCACCTCCACGACCACTGCCTCCACGTCTCTGACTAGCAGTGAGACGCTAGTAAGCGCTGCAGAAACAGGCCAGTACACAAGCACAGCAGGCAGCAGTTCAGAGCACACAGCTGAAGAGCCTCAGACAACTGCTACAGACTCCGAAGCCCAGAACTCCAGTCAACTGCAGTCCAATGGACTACAGAACGTCCAGGATCAGTCAGGTTCTCTTCAGCAGGTCCAGATCGTGGGTCAGCCTATTCTACAGCAGATACAGATCCAGCAGCCTCAGCAGCAGATCATTCAGGCCATTCCTCCACAGTCATTTCAGCTCCAGTCAGGACAGACTATACAGACCATCCAGCAGCAGCCTTTGCAGAACGTTCAGCTGCAGGCAGTGAGTCCAACTCAGGTGCTCATCAGGGCTCCAACTTTAACACCATCTGGGCAGATCAGCTGGCAAACTGTACAGGTTCAGAATCTGCAAAGCCTTTCAAATCTTCAAGTTCAAAATGCTGGGTTACCCCAACAACTAACCATTACCCCTGTGTCTTCAAGTGGTGGTACAACCATTGCTCAGATTGCACCAGTGGCTGTTGCTGGCACCCCTATCACTCTGAACGCTGCCCAGCTTGCTTCAGTCCCGAATCTTCAAACAGTAAGTGTTGCCAACCTGGGTGCTGCAGGTGTGCAAGTTCAAGGAGTTCCTGTTACTATTACCAGTGTTGCGGGTGAGTGGTCTGACAAAGTTTTGGATTTGTTTTGGGGTTTGTGGGTGGGGGTTTTTGTTGGTTGGTTGGTTGGGGTTTTCTTGCAAGAATTCCAGACTGTTAAATTTTTTTTTCCTCGTATATTCTGTAATTAATGTTAAACCCTTAACTATGAGCAAATACCTTGTACTTACCACTGTAATTCAGATTTTAAAATAGCTTATACTTCTGCTAAACATTGAGCTAATACTACCAGTTGCATCAGTTGGAATGGAACTGTGACAAACTATCCTTAAACAATTGTGTTCTCCACGTTATTAAAGACTTGTAGGCTTCGTGAGTGAATGTGAGACTTTGCTGTTAGGGCTTTGATATGTTTAAAAAAACTAACAAAAAAAGCTTTTTTCCAACCGGGTAGTATTCCTAATCTCTGCAGGGGGGATGTAGGTTGAGAATAGTGACAGTATGTGAACTAGGATATCTTGTGTTATGACATGCATTTGTATGAAACTACTTGTATTCTGCACAACCTCCTAAAGTTGTTCTGAGCTCTTCAAAGAGATTGAGTGGAATAAGGTGTCCTTGTGCACAGTATAGTTCCTGTGGCTTGTCTTTCTAAAAACAACTGGTAACTGTACCTCAGTACCTGCTGATGAACTCTTGATATGTGTTATGAAATGCCTATTTGGTTATGCTGGTCTAATAGTTGGGAAAGGAGCTATTAAAAGGCTCTAGGCTGGATAACAGAGCTTAGTCCTAAAGTAAATTCTGTGTAAGGTCTCTGCAGTGTCCCAGAAGGACAACTCTCTATGCAAAACTTGAAAATTCTCAACATTTCAGGTAAAACTTGATGTGGGGGTTCTCTCTGCCAGTTTGAGAAATGCTTACATGAGCTTGGTTTTATTTCATACAATGAAGAGTCTTCTGTTGTAGTAGTTACAATAAACTTTTGTCTTAACAGCAATCTGACTATAGACACAGGTTTTTAGTATAAAACTGTAAGAAAAAACTCATGTTTAACTACTGTCTGGTCTACAGAAACACATGTTAGTATCCTATTGACTCTTAATCTGTTTAGGTTTTATTTTTATAATCATATGCTGAGAGGAGAGATGTTTAACTCGGCAAAGGATTGTTCCCTTTAGTTGAATCATTTCTGAGGAGATTAAGCATGATTTAATAATAAGAAATTTGCCACTGGGAGTTTCATCTGCTGTGTTTACTCTTTGGCTCTTGATGGCTTGCTGAAATACTGAGAGCTGTGTTGGATGTACTAAACCTGGCTTATTTAAGGAGCATTTTGGAAAAGTTAATCTGGGTAACAAGAATTAAAATCTTGACCTTGTGTTTAGCTGTAATGGTTCAGAAAGAAGTTTTGGTTGGCTGGAGCTGACCAGCTGCTGCAATATCTTGCAGTCCAATTTGCCTTGGAAATTTTTTTTTTTCTTGATGGGAAGGTGCTGGGTTGACTACTGTTGTTGACACAAGTTCCTACTTTGGTAGGGGACTCTTCATAGGAAGCATGCTTTGGGAACAGCCTAGTTTTGGGAGTTCAGGGAGAGTCTTTCTGCATGCAGTTTTTTTCCTGCTTACTAAAGGTGTACAACTGTTTAGGACACACTAACAGGTGTTGGAACAAGAGATTCTGAATATCATCTTGCTCAATTATCTTGACTGCACCTCTGGTCACATGTGATGTGTTTTGGAAAATAAAGAGGTTGAGATTTGTAACTGAGGATGAAAGGAAGGGGGAGTGATTCACAAGTATGCTTCTGGGGAAGCTAAATCTTTGTCATACAGAGCTCTTACCTTAAATAAGCTTTGTGACCATTGAATTCCCCTCCATGTTTTTTTCTATCCAGGTAGGCCTTATGGGTGTTTCCGTAGAACTTATGATGTTATGCTAGCAGCAGCAAATCCTCTGACCTTTTCTCTATTCCTTCATGCATAAGGTACTATTTCTGTTTCCCAAGGCTTGAGGTTATGGAGAAGGAACAAAGTTTGAGAATGTGAGAGATAAGTTATATTTCTTTCTCTTATTTATCTCTACTTCTCTCCTGTGAAACTTCTTGATGCTGCACTTTGGGAAGGGAGGCATGATGTGCAGTCCTTAATGCTATTTTAAGTATTCAAGGAAAGAATGGTTACAAAATAGAAAATTATAAACATGCTACAATCCAAATTTTGCTTGCCACTTATAAAGAATAAGCTGTCTTGATCAGGGCTGATAATTTCCACAGATTTGCTATTTTTATTTGAAGTTGGGTTTTCTTTTGGCTATTATTGTTACAGGAAACCTTTAAAAAAATATACCACTCAGTTACCTCAACATCAGCAGACTGGCATTTCCATCCTTTTTCTGCAGTACCTAATCATGTCGATGTGAAGTCTTTTGTGCATTAATTGAACTCTCCAAAAGTGAATCATTTGCCACAAATGAGCAGTGGAATTAGGTGTTAGAAATGAGCCTTATGAAGGATGTCCAGAAAATGTCAGGGAAAAGACTGGGTGAAGGACTAATCCCATGAGTTGATTCAGGTGCTGTAGCTTTGTTAGGAGAAAAAAGGTTACTTTTGTCCTTCAAGCAAACCCAAGCCAGCTGAGTTTCAGAAAAAAAACCCCAACACCCAGCAAACACAATAAGTATTTGTCTGAAGTAACTGTTCTTTTATTTGTGTTTGGTTTTTTTCTGTTCCATGAACATTGTTTTTTTTCTAGTTATTTCTACAATGGGGTAATTTAAGTACTTTTTTCCTTAGTTTTTCAGTAGTCAATGAAATAGTAAAGCAACAGAATTCTACATAATTAAGTGCCAATAGAAAAAAATCTTAGCTTAAAATGATTGTGTAAATGTTAAGCTATGAAACTATTTTAGGAAATGAAATAGGTGGTGGTGGTTTTCTTGTTTTTGTTTTGGTTTGGGTGGAGCGTGTGTTTATGTTTGGTTTTGGTTGGTTTGTTTGTTTGTCAAATGGATTCTAAATTCCAAAAGAGACAAATTTCACATTGGGAAGAAAAATATTAAGATCTTCAAGTAAAGATTGTATTTTGGTCTGCTTTTAATAACCTTTGTTAATTGAAGTTTCTGGTCCGAAGGTGTGTAGGTTCTTCTGTAAACCAAGCAAGAAGAATAAATGTGTTTGGGGTGTTTTGTTGTGGTTTTTTTTCAGTTAAAAGTTCAAATATTGCACTTGGTAAATATCATACTTAGGATTTTATGTTGTGTGTGGTGAAAAAGCAGGGCAAAGCAGAGAGGTTCTCACATCCTTTCACTTTCTAGCCTGAGGGAAACCTCATTCAGTGTTGGTGATGTACAGGAAAATTACTTTTTTGGTTGCCCAGTGAGGTTGTGGACTCTCTGTCTTTGGAGATATTCAAAGGCTGTCTGGACATGGTCCTGTGCAATCAGCTGCAGGTGGCCCTGGCTGAGCAGGGTGGTTGGAGCAGATGACCATCAGAGGTACCTTCTAGGCTACACCACTCTAATTCTGTGAAATTTTGCTGAGAAGATGTACAAAGTGTCAGTCAAAGGAGTAATTATATATACAGAAGTAAGCTGGATGAGAAGATGAAAAATAAGTATCCGAACCTTAAAACCAGATCCCTAAACAATTATTTAATTAGGAGCTAATAAAACAACAGACTACATGAAAGCAATCATGTTTACTTGAACATGCAGGAATCTACAAATACCTGCCTTGCTATTAGATCAGTAACTGTCATGGTCTTTAAGCAAGCTTGTTCTGTACAAAGTAAACAGCATTTCTTCTGTGCCGTGTGAATTGTTGTTTTATACATGATTCCATGTGGCATGGGATAGCTTTTAATGTTAATAGGTGGTGACTTTCTGAATTTAGCCCCTGTGAGCTTGAGGACAAGCAGGTACTCCGCAGTTCCTAGACTTTTTTTCAAGGCTTCTGCTGTGATAGCTGTAGATGCAAGTTCAAAGGCCTGTAGCCCCCTTTGACCTCCATCTGTTTCTTAAAATAAGGTATCCTTTGCCTCTTTAAAAGCTTACTTGTGGGCCATTTTATTTGTCTGGATGTTTTAATTGACAACATAAGTAACTATGAGGAAGGAACTTGTTTTAGTACTAGATGGTTCTAAGAAAAATACGTAGTTCATCAAACCATTTCCTTTTGGTGGTCTAAGTTTCTTTGTCTCTCAACACATTGGGCTTGGAGTATATTTGTTTTAGGAATAGCGCAGAATGTGAACGTTTGTAGATGTTAAAGAATATGGGTGAGATAAAACAGACCAGTTACTCTGAATTTCATTACAGCTTATTAATCGCTTCCCTGTAAAAGTTTTGGGTTCTGCCTGTAGGATTTTTTTCACTGGAGCCTTCAGAAGAGGTCACAAGCTTTTTCTGTACTTGTTCATTTGTTTTGCTGACAGTGGGAATCTGGTGGTGGTAGAGATGATGTCTTTTCAGAATAATTCCCTGTCTCTCATAAAAGAAAAAATAAAGTAATAGATCAAACCTGTATCTACCTTTATTATGCATTCTGAAGTGATTTTATTATGTCATGATGGTGTTTGTTCCATGTAAACATGTATGAGAGACTTCTGGTTTAAAAATAGTGAAAAATTCACCAGATACTGAGAAGTCCCCAAATCCCACCACCTTGCAACTCAGATTCAAGCTGTTTTGTTTAAGATGGGTGGTGACATGTCCTGAATTATGGGCAGCTTGGAGGTCATCCACAAAAATAACCTGGAGGAAAGACTTCTTTTCAGTGAAACAGTCTGTTGCCTGGCAATACTGGAACTGGAGAGTTTTAAGTCTTTTGCAGGAATGTGCTGTGGACTCTAAAACAGGTATTAATGACAATGAAGTCTAATACCAAGTGTTTTTATTGGGCACCTCAAAAACATAATGAAGCTTGCCCTTTTGTTTCATAGACTGTAGTAATGTGAGTTACTAAGGCATTTTTCTCTTTGACCAGCTAATTTCATTGCACTCCTATTGGTAGTTATGCAATTTGTCAGTACTTCCAGGTCTCCTCCTGATTTCTTCT